CCTGGAAAAACGGGGCCACTATGGGCACAGGGGCGTTGGTTTCCTGTTGTACAAAGTTGGTGTTGTCACAGTTGTGTATCAATCTCTACAACAGCAACATCTTCCTTACAAACTCCATGTTCTTAACGATATAATTTATTAGACCCAAGTTCTTAAACCCAAGCAAACTAAGTATATATTTCTTTCAATTGCTTTTTCTTTTCCTTTCGAAGAAATGCAAATATAAAATATCTCAATAGGACGCAATGGAGAAAAAGGATTCACGTAGTCGACCCCATTTAGTGGGATAAAGGTTTGTTGTTGTTGTTTTTATGGTTTTTTGTAAGCATCAACAACCCCGACCACATCCCTCCGAATTAAAACCTCAGCAACAAAAACTCATTATCTTTCATAGCTCGATCATCCAATTTACTAATCAAACATTCTTTGGGATCATTAATGCCATATAAATAAATTAGGTTCATTTTAGTATTTATTAAAATATATTTTATTTAAATTTAGTAGGCAATTATTTAGTTTAGTAAGTATTAATACAACTAACATATTTATTTTATTTCAACCACTATATCCTAACACATATTCTCATTCTTCTTTATAATAGATCCAAGATACTTACATCTAATTGCTAGGTATCACTTTTAGTAAGAATGATTCAAAATTGCTACTATCACGTCCACAAACGTTTCATAACATACATGCAATTGTCATTTTACATATCCGACGCAAAACACGAGATTATTGTGATTCCGCGTCACGGACCTCACAATCGCGAGATTAACTGACCTCATTAATCCTCTTTTATCTTTTCTCCTTTTTTAAAAAAGTTTCTTACTTTTGTTTCTTTTAGGTATTCTCTATAAAAGGGATACATATGCGCGTGTGTGTGTGTTGTAACAAGGTTGTTTGATCTTTAGTTTTTTGGATTTTATGAATTGTGGACACTTTCATCTAGTTTCTGCTCTCCGAAATATTATAGCATCTTCCGCTTGCAAGTGGTGTTTATAGCTTGCTCAGAAACAGGTAGCGGATCTCCCTTGCCATCCGCTCCTCACAAGTTTGTCATTCGCTCGTTGTTGTCAATCGAACAACCATAACACTTGCCACCATCTGTTGTTTACAGCAAAAAGTCATTGTCTTCTTGTTTTGGGTTCACTATCCCACCCCCATTAACACTGATTTCCAGTTGTCATCCATCCTCCTATTCTTGTACCCATCCTAAAACTTCTCTTACGCATTTTGGTGTCTAACACACACCTTCTAGGAGCACTAGAACGGTGTCATTTAAAATCAGAGCCAGTCAGAATCTCATTTGGAAGAACGAGATGCTATGCTGCCAAGGAGAAACCCTCAATTGCAGTGGAAGCTTATTCATTTTGTAAGAAAGCAGCATGCAAAAGTCACACACAACAAAGGTGACCAACCAATTGAAAGAGATGGAAAACCAATACTTCACAAACTTGGCACGAAATATCAGCAGAAAAGCCACAATTTTGGAGTGAAGATTGGCTTGTCGGATTTTTTATGGTCGCATGAATTCGAACAAGTTCATCGAGTGGCTCTAGGTAGTGAAACTTGACTTTCAGTACAAAGATATCCCACCTAAGATGAGGATAGAGCTAGCACCTATCAAAGTTTAAGAAGAGTGCATCTCCATGATGGGAAATTTTGAAATGCCTACATTTGCGAGAAGAAGAAAGCAAACTCGCTATGTGGTCTAAAGATGAAAAAGAAAATACAAGGTAAGTACCAACACATTACAATAGAACCTTTTCTTGAGAAAACAAAAAAGATCTTTCAGTAGAAATGTACACAGTTGAGTCGAGCAGTTTATATTAAGGCGTGAGCTAGTGAAGTCCGAGGAGAACACTATATGTCGATATCTGAGAGACAGAGACAGTCCATTGGCATCATGGTCCAATTATAGCCTTAATGGACATTACAGGGTATTTAGAGTCTAGTTCTGAAGGTGGAAAGATAACACAACAGTATTAAGTCCACACCATCCTTCAAACACAGTTCAGCTCAAACACAGCCAACAAGAATGCACACAGTGTAACATCTCAGCCTAACCCATTAGAAGAAAAATCAATTCAAATTGGAGACGAAGAGAACTCTAGTGCTCCAAAATCCATCCCGATGAGGAAGATCTTAAAATGTCATGGTTGCATCTAACTGTCCAAATAGAAGGGTGATATACTTCATTGAACAGGATGCAGTTGAGGCAAAGCGTAAAGACCCAGAGAAAAAGAATATAGAGGAATATATCAGTTGTCTGCATATGAGGGAAAGATGCCACTAACCTGATAAGTTGTTGAACCTAAGCCCAAGAGAGAGCAACAGTGGCTCCTCCATAACATATTCCGTACATGCCGCATTGTGAAGGAAAAAATGTGCATTCTCATTATAAATGGAGGAAGTTATAAAAACGTGGCATCTATCTAAATAGAGTCTCACTACTCATAAATACTCCCAATTATATTTTTTGTTATGGTCGAAGAAAGAAAATAAGATCATAATTGACAGAAGATGTCTCATAGAGTTTTTTATGGTAGACAAGCCCGAAGATCAGGTTTGGCATAATGTCGTGCATATGGATGTATCATATTCTTTTGGGCCGACTGTGGCAAAATAACAGTACACTTCATGATGACAACAAAAACACCTACTCATTTATCAAATACGGGATAGTGTATGACACTTATATCGTTGAAGGAGTCAGTTATGATGGGTACTCCGACAGACAGGAACTTTAGTGACCTGTGCTACATTTTTATAGGTTGTGAGAGAGGCATCAGTGAAACAAGCTTTAGTGAAATCATAATATAGCGTCATAAAAGAGACGATATATGAGGCAGTGTGACCCTCACTAGAGGAATTTTTGGATTATATAATCTTCAATCCACCCCCTATGTTGTCAACCCTAAGAGCAACACAGCATGCCAATACTTCAAATAAAAATGACACTTCTCAATAATTTTTGGAAGACCCTATAGAGTAAACTGGGTATTGTTCTAGTTCAATCCCACGCATGCCCCACTTTTGCCACTATCATTCTCATTTGTTGCCGCCACCCCCGAACAGTTTTTCCTGGCTGTTTTCTGTTGTTTCCAACTGTCCGGCCAGTCGTTACCCTCATTACAGCTTGTCGCCATTGTAGCAACTACTGCCATTCACTGTCGCCATCCTCCTCCAGTGCTTCTGCAACGTAATATTGCCCTTTCCAGCCGTTTTGTTGCTGCCCAATCCCTCCGCTTTGTTGTTGTTACCATTTTAGTCCTCCATACTTGCTGCCATCACCCTGGGCAGCCCTCCCACAACACTCCTTGCTTGTTGTCCGGCACCGGGGAAACAACCGCCTTGATATTTTCTGCTTGCCAACCGCCTTGCTGTTTTTTTTTTCTTGTCCATCGCCTTTTCCACCCCACGCCACCTTCCAAACCCTCGCCGACCACCACCACCATCCTTGGGATAAACTCCAATTATGTTTGTTTGTGTCTATTGTTGAATTTTCCTTTTCAAGTGTCTTGATTGTAACCATCTATTTGCTTTCAAATAATTGTTTTTTCTATTGTGGTTTGGGTTAACTCAGTACCAATTTCTTATTAGAAAAGATCTGGATATTTGAGATATATATCTTCCTACTGCTGAATTTGTATATAGAATCACTGTATGTAAAACCGGTGGTGCAAGAGACCATTTGAGATTTTAAATTAACTGAACCTTGGAAATCCTATAGATCTTGTCCCTTTGTCATTGCATCCAACACGACCATGTTGCATAATTTACAGCATAAATATGTTTTATATGAAGTTAAAAAACAGATTGAATAGCATAGTATAAAATATTCTTGTGTTTCGACTATCAAGTGTATAATAATCCTCTCTGGAGCACTTCACACAGACCAGATATATGAAATTACATACAAGGGTGGGTCAGTGGTCCTTTCCCTATAAGAAAATTAATTTTAATTCTTGCATTTTACAATGGCCACTTGACAAGTCTATAAAGTTGTATTTTCAACATTGAAGATAAATTATCTTATCACAGAATATTTGAACCTAGAGAATGTCTATAGTTTCTTCATTATGAGGGATTTGTATTACAATCATTATTCGTACAGATTCCATTATTCTAAATTCAGCTGCTTACATGAGAGATAGTATCATCTCAAATGTAGATATACATGAAAACAATCAAATATAGGCATAGGTCAAGTGGAAAGATGGACCTTATTCAGAAAATACAAAGATGACAAAGGATAAACTACAAGCTAAACAATATTCCCTAGATAACTAAAGAATAGTAACTCTCAAAATGAGATTTCTTTGCACCTCAAGAGGTCTTAGTACAATCCACAAATCAAGTTAAATGCAACATGAGCTAATTAGAAGTCAAACAACACCACAAAATAGTTTTTTCATGGCATTTTGGGGTCCATTTCCCTTTTTTTGGTAAAGTTTACATATATTTCAGTTTCACACATTTAATTAGATTATATTATCATCTTTGGATTATATTAGGTTCTATTTCATTTTAGATAAGATTTGAATTTAACTTAAATTTCTATAAATAATAATCAGTGACTTGTGATTGAACAAATTTTAAATCATGAAATTTATTTTATGAGAGCAATTGAGTGTGCTCCTTATAGATCATGTAAACTGCTACAGAGTGTTCATGCAGGGTTCCTTTTCTCCCCCCTCCATCATAAAGTCTTTTCCTCAAGCCGCCATGATATTTGCTTCAACAGAAAAAAGTGTTTCTCTTCAACAAAATGGCCTGCTTTAAAGCATTATGCACCTTTAATAATGTTAGTTTTCATTCTTCCTTTTGCCTTGAAAACCATGATGATTTATGACATTATTTTTTAAATCTTCAAAAGAAAATAAGTTTTAGAAGTGTCTTTTAAGAACTTTGCAATAGATAATGCTCGACAGATAACTGAACAAAAAAAGAATTAGATCTGAATCAAATTACACTTATCCAAATGAATATCATACATCTCACGCTTCTCCATGTCAGCTTTAGATACACCTTCAGCGGCTGGGCTGTCAGCAACGATTTCACCTTCCTGTGACAGCATAATTGACATCATTAATATTAGGTGTTTAGAGAAGGAAAAAAAAAAATTTTGAGCGGAAAGAAAAGAATTCATTGTCATTGATTGGGAGTCTGTTATTCCCAAACAGAGTTCCTTGATATAAGCAAGAAAATACCTTTGCCAGATATAGATTGCGCCTGTCTTGAACCTCATTCTTCATCTTTTCAAGGCCTTTCTTTTGAGCAGACTCCCTGTCCAAAGCCTTCAGAACTTTAAGCAGCCTTCCTTTCAGAATAATACCTAAACCATTTGCATCATTTGCAGAAGCAATTGCTGCATCAGCAGCAGCTGCAGTTCTAAACTTGAGAAAAGCGGTACCTCTTGGTCTCCTACCCAACCAATTAAAAATACAAAAAAAAAAAAAAAAAAAAAAAAAAGCATTCTAGTCAAGTGTCTGTTGTTTGCTGAAGTGAAATTTGAACCAAATGGCCTAATCAGATAAAAAAGAATTCTTGTATTGGTTTCCTATGATTACAGGATGATCAAAACTTACTTGGTGAGTTGATGAAGTACCGGCACGAAAGATTGCACCTCACCAAACACTGAAAACCTTTGTTTTACCTCCTCACTTTCAATTTCAAATGGTATATTGCTGATGAAAATTGTTCTACCAAGGTCACCATCTTTCTTATTGATATCTTCAGAAATACACTCCGTCTGTTTCATATCTCTTTTTTCAGCAGCATGTAACTTTTTCCCAGGAGCAGGACGCTCCCTGCTGATAGAATTAACTTTCTCTTTTTCAACAGAGTCAATTGCCTCTGAGTTACTTGGGGTCACACGTGAATTAATCAAATTTTCAAGAATTTTCCTCGCAACTTCTGCCTCCATCCCAAAATCAACTTCTGTAGAAAGAGGCTCATTTCCCTTTGAGCCAAAAGCTGTCTCATTTGCATCACTTTTATCATTGTGAATCTCTGTTTTTTCTACAATACCAGCATCAATTTCTGTAACCGAACTACCATCGCTCTCATCATAATCTTTATTTCCATCAGCTGATTTCCCTGCAAATAACAAAACTTTATTAAATTAAAGTAGTTCAACTAATCCAGGACTGCATGTCATAACGAGCACACTACAATGACAGCCATAAATAAACTTTCCTATGAATATATCTGAAACGTTTCACTTCAAAAGTTTACAAGCTTTGGTGATTTCTTAAAAGGATGACTAGACTAAAAAAGTGCAATACTGAATAACAAAATTCACATCAAGACTAGCTTCAAATAACAAAAAACTTTCAGAGCAAGTACTTATATGAATCTACAGATGATCGAGGGTATCATTTATACCCCTAGTGGTCTTTTCTGTTTCAAAGTTACAAAAAAATAAATGTGAAATGTCCCCTAAATAAAATTTTATTAAACTATAGAACAGGTTGAATTTTTCATAGGAAAGTCCAGGAATGGCTCATAATGTCAATCAGCTCAAGATTTTAAACTAGACACCTGATTTAATCTATAAATGGATAATATTGAGTCAGTCTGACCAAATGAAATAAAGATAATGATAAAAAATATTATGGAATTTGTAAGGACCATTTCAAATCCCAGTTAATTTGCTTATTTGGCCCCTTAACTCTTCAAAGCTGATTCAATTTACTTCCACCATTAGAAATTCTGTTTTACTGAACAGAAGGTTGACACACGAGAGTTTCGCTAGGCCAAATTCATCCTGCCAAATTATTCCCTTGGATAATTTGAATTGATTGAAAAGGAAAAAAAAAGGAATATAAACTCCAACTCATGCACGTCAACCTTTCATCCTAGTAAAAAAAAAAATTCAAATAGTTCGACATGAAATGGATCAGTTTTAAAAAATTTGGGGACCAAGTTGGATACATTAAATAGTCTGGACTACAATGGACACCTTATAAAGTCCATAAGCCACTTTTGATCATTTCTCGAGTGAAATATCACACGTAACAGAAACCTACTAAATAGTGGAATAAAATTGGCATCTCAACACATAATTTAGCAAAAATAACCCAAAACTCTATAAATTACGACATTATTGAGCATAGGTGAACCAGTAAAAATCTTCAACAGCAATGTCAGTTTGGTATAAAACTGATTGTCCCAAGAACATGCACGGAGTTGTCTGCTTATCATTAACCATTCACTTCTAATTCAACTACGATACTAGTAAATGGAAACAATTTCCAGTTCACAACAAATAAACATGGAAGCTGATTAAGAATATACAAATAAACATGGCAGCACAACAGAAACGAAAGAGAATGTTGTTACAAAATTACCCTCTTTAGACGTAGATTTAGTGGCACTCGCATATATCTTTTTTGGAACTGACCAATCAACTGCAATAGGTCTTTTAGCAATCATCTTCCCGTTGATATCTTGGATAGCCTGAGAGTAAAAACATCAATATTCCTAACGATTTCTGTTACTTGTTCTCCAACAAAACTAATAAGAACTTCCATACCTTCTCTGCATCCTTCTTACATGTGAAAGAGACAAAAGCAAAGCCCTTAGATACCCTAAAACAATAAAATATCATAAATACCAAATAACCACTAGCAAACAACAATATAATGCAAACCATACCCTTCTTCTGTTCTATGTGGAATACACACATCCCATACAAAGCCTGATGTGGAAAAAATATCTTTGATTTCGTTAATTGTGATCTGCAATAGATTTATTTGGTTAGTTTGCTCCTAATCATTTTAATGATGCATATAGAGTGGTCATATTATATAGCACTGCACCAAGAACCTTGAAAGGCAGATTTCTGACTATTAATCGCCACTTTCTAGCTTTTGAACCCTGATGCAAATTGCAAAAACGAGATCACTTAGAAGATAATTATCAGGAAAAAAAAAAGATCAATGAAACACGATCAGCCCCAACTACTTCTGCAAAATTAAGAGCCATGGATAATTGTGATACGATCCAACGCATAAATCAACACGACTTTTCACATAAAACATGGCAAAGGAGATTTTTTTTTATTCATGAACAGCAAATCGAAGCAATATAACAAGAATATATGAAGATAACACCTACATTTCGAGAGGTAGGCGATCTCTCCCAAATCCTATAATTTGAGAGCTAGAAAATCCATCTTAAATCCTAACCCTGAGACTTAAGGCGACAATCTCATGCATAACCCTAACCCTAAACTATTAAGCCCTATTTATACTAAACCATAATAAATTACAAATGACTAAATTGCCTTTAGGCTAATAAGGACTAAATGGACCTTAGGCACCATCATAATAGATTGCTTCCACGAGATTTGGTATTATGATAACTCTAATTGTCGATGTGTGTATAGCCGTGGACCACATGGGCCCATCCGCGATAGGGAAGGCCGTGGGTCCCCTATTACATTTGGGGGGTGAAATTATTATCCCTTAATTATCAATTGTTGTGGTTTTAATTAATTCCTTTTTATTATGTTGATTTGAATTTTCCTCCAAGTGTATGAGTGCAAATCTGAAGTGTGTGTGTGTGTGTGTTTACTTGATCAGAAGATTAGATAATATTTTCCTCTAAGAAAATTATTCCAAAATTTCTACACGATATTTGAGCAAGAAAACAAACCCTAGCTCTAATTTTTTTGCCAGAGCCTCTCCCTGCAGACATCTTCATCAGGATTAAATGCATCCTAAATTGAGTTGTAGCATTGTTGTCGCTTCTCCAAATGAACAACACTTTCGAAAATCATCATTGCTTTGGTGTCGCGATTCATGTAGGCTTTGTTGCCACTTCTCCAGACAGGAGTCTTCCAAAAATTATCAATCCCAGCAAGCTTCGTTGTCAACCTAGATCTAAAGGATTTTTCTCTCTACAGTGGAAATCCCATATTTGAGAATCGATTTTCTCTCTCTCGTGGAAATCCAAAGTCCAAAAATCATTTTATCCATAGAAGAAAAACAGAAATCCTATGTCGGTGACAGACCGTTGCTCTCTATAGTTGAAATCCTGTGTCAACGATATGCAACATAAATCTTGTGTCGACGACAGACAGCGCAAATCCCTATATCGGCGACAGACAGCTTTGCTCTAGCGAGAATCCCCAACGAAGATCCTATCGACGACTCATCACCACAAATAAATATGACATGAAAGCTATTTTTTCCACTTCGGATGTTAATTTTGAATCTAAACCTAGAATATTAGGTTTTAAGGCATCTAAAATCTCCTCCTGCATGACCAATCATAAGTTGAAAGGCAACAATTTTCTCCAGTAGTCCCAATCAGTCTTCATGCACATTTGTAGCAAAGAAAATGGTGATCGTTTCACCGAAGAAAATCTTGCACCATAAATTACGGATCCTGAACATTGGAAAATGGAAAATTGAAGATCACATGCTCATGTCATGGCTTGTCAACTCCATGACCACGAAAATTTGAGAAAATTTCCTCATGTACAAAACAGCAAAAAAATCTAGAATGCCACAAGGGAAACCTATTCAAGTGTTGGCAGCACCTCTAAGTTGTTTGACATTGAAACTAGATTACACAACCAGCGGCAGAGTGAGTTGAATATTACTTTATACTTCCAACACTCCAAATATATTGGCTTCAACTAGATATGTACGAAACATACACATGGAGGTACACACAAGACTCTACTATTTACAAAACCATTGTTGAACAGGAGATAACTTTTAAGTTCCTTCTAGGACTCAGCAAGGAACTAGAAGAAGTTCGAGGAAGAGTCATTAGAACCAAACCTCTTTCCTCAATTCGTGAAGCCATTGGTGAGGTACAAAAGGAAGAGAGCATGAAAAAACTCATCATGCCGAGTAATTCCACTACATTAAATGCCAAAAAAACGGATCATTAGAACCAAACCTCTTCCCTCAATTCGTGAAGCCATTGGTGAGGTACAAAGGGAAGAGAGCATGAAAAAACTCATCATGTCGAGTAATTCCACTACATTAAATGCCAAAAAAACGGCTTTATATACTCACAAATCATCTCAAGACAACAAGCTTTATATACTCACAAATCATCTCAAGACAACAAATTATGAAGCAACCGATTGAGGTGTGAACATTGCAAGGAGCTTGGTCATCTGAAAAAGTGTTGAAAAATTCACAGATTGGAAGCCCAACAAAGTCAAAGGGACAAAATCAGGCAAACACGGCATCAAAAGAAGACAAGCCTCATGAACATAGTTCATTCAGTAAAGAACAACTCTCTAGAGGCTTCTGAGAATATTCTAAGTCTTCCACCAGCCTTCTATCACATCAAAGTTGTATTCAATCTGCTCTTGTTACTCTCAATAGGAATAATCAGTCTTGGATTGTAGACTCTGAAGCATTTGATTACATGATAGGTGATATCACTATTTTCTAATCCTTCTACTCTTGCAAACACTATTGTGGTTAGAACCACAAATGACTCCACTTCATTTGAAAAATGAAATGGAAGTGTGAATCTCACAAATGATTTTATTCTTGAATATGTGATTTATGTTTTTAAATGTAACTGTAAATTACTATCTATTAGTAAACTTGTAAAATGAATTGTGTTACTGAGTTCTACCCTGATTTGTGTGAATTTCAAGTGAAATTAGAGAAGATCATTAACAGTGTTGACATGACATCATAGACTTTATCTGCTCAATAGAACTCCCACTTCAAAAGGACCATCTCACCATTCACAATCATTTGAGTTAAATGTTGTATTTGAGTCTCTTTCTCAGAAAACTCAAGTTATGTTATGGTATTTTCACCTTGGGCGTCCTAACTTCTATTATATTAAAAAATTATATCCCTATTTATTTATCAATAAAATATATAGATCTTATCAGTGTGAACCTTGTCAGCATGCTAAACATACTCTACAAGTGTACCCAAACCTGAAATACAAACCAACACGTCCTTCTTTCCATGGTTCCTAATGATATTTGGCGTCTCTCAAAAATAAAAAATACAAATGAGGCTAGGTGCTTATCACCTTCATTAATGATCACGCCAGAATAACTTGGACTGTTCTTGTGAAAGAAATATCTGAAACTATCAATATATTTGAAATCTTACACAACATGATCCTCACCCAATTTCGGAGCAAAATTCAAATCTTAAAGCTGATAATGCAAAAGAATACTACAACTCCACTCTCGACCTTTATCTATCCAAAAATGACACATTCATACAAGCTCTTGTGTTGACACACCCCAACAAAATGATGTGACTGAAAGGAAAAAAATATATCTCAAAGTGGCCCGTTCAATTCTATTCACTACCAATATACATAAACACTTTTGGGGGATATAATTCTCATATCCACTTATCTCATAAAAAGAATGCACAACAGAGTGCTAAAGTTTGACAAATCTCTCAACGCCCTCATAAAATTCTAACCCAACATTTAGTCTTTTACCTCTAATCTACCACTAAAAATTTTTTGTTGTATCACTTTTGTTCATTTACATCAACCATATCAGACCGAACTTGATCTCAAGACACCTATTACTACACTAAATTATCTCACAGCTCCCACCAGAAGTTAAGAACTAAGAGTGTACACCATAAAGAAAAAAATCTAATGAGCATGTAAGGGACAATATGCAAAATCAAGAATACAAATCACCAAAGCCAACTCCACACACCCAAATCATTCACACAAAGATTGGGTCAACACATCACGAACACCAAGAGGATGGACCACAAGTATACACAAAACATCCAATAGAAGAATTTGTGACCCATGAAAAGTTATTATCCTCTTATAAATCTTTTGTTCAAAATTTGGATAATGCAAAGGTCTCAAATTCAATATAAAAAGCCTTATCGATTCCTGCTTGGAAAAATACTGTGGAAGAATAAATTCTTTCCCTTGAAGAGAATGATATTTGGATCATAACAACTTTGCCACCTGGAAAGAACTGTAGGGTGTAAATGGGTATTCACCATTAAATACAAAACTGATGATAGCATAGAAAGGTTCAATATTATACTTGTAGCAAAAAGGTTCACTCACTTCTACAGAATCGACTAACAGTAGACATTTGCACCAATAGTGAAACTCAGCACAGTATGAGTATTACTGCCATTGGTTGTCAACCAAGATTAGCCCTTACATCAGCTAGACATTAAAAAATGCATTCTTGATGGGGACCTTGAAGAAGTGTATAAGGAGATACCTCCAATATTAAAGAACAATACAAATAATCAAACAAAAAAAATTATTGTGAGGGTAGTAACAATCTCTCGGAGCACGATTTGAAAGGTTCACCAATACTATTCTTGTTAATGGGTACTACCGTTGTCAGGTTGATCACACCTTAGTAGTGAAATCAAATCACAAAGGTATGATGGTCAGTCGTATTGTATGCATAGATGACATTATTCTTACATACAATGGCATAGGGGGACTTGAAACAATAGAAAAAATAATTGTTTCTTAGTTTGAGATCAAAAATGTTGAAATTTTGGGGGTGTTTGTTAGCAAACTTAGAATAGGATTTAAGCCTAAATTTCACTTAAAACCAACCAAACACAAAAAAAAACAAAAACAAAACCCGAATTTCTGGTACCTCCCGTTTTGTCTTCCTGACAGTCATTCCGACTTCTAGACTCCCCTTCCATCTTCAAATTCAAATTTCGTAAATCGCACAAAGAGCTGGATTTCACGGATTTCGCTCGTCGTTGCTTGCCCCTCCCACTTCCATCACAAGCCTCAAACGAAACCTTGATTTGATAAATCTTATTAACATATATATGATCTTGCAGCCAAACACCCCCTTTAAGAAACCTCCTAGGAAGTGGCTAGATCCAAAAAAAACATTGTCATATCCCAGAGAAAGA